CTGGGAGGCACGGTGGAGCAGCGGAGTACCCGAGACCTCGCAGCCCCCTGGGGAGCTGCGAATTGCGCAGTTGCCGCCACTTTCGTGGGCTCCTGGGAGGCCCAGTGGAATAGCGGAGTGCCCGAGACCTCGCAGCTCCTTGGAGGGCTGCGAACAGCGCAAATTGTCCCTTCTCCGTGGGCTCCTGGGAGGCACGGCGGAGCAGCGGCGTGCCCGAGACCTCGCAGCTCCGCGGGGGCTGCGAATTGCGCAGTTGCCGCCACTTTAGCGGGCTCAGTTTTCAACGTCATCCGCGAAGCGTGGTTCATTCAGTTATACCTTCCGCTCTGTCCGCACTCGCTACCCCAGGAACCTGGTCGCAGACTGGACACCCATGATCCTGGGACCGCACCCGAAGCGTCTGAGAACCCCGCCGCTTACTGAAGTCGGCCCGATATTTTCACCAAGCCCTTACAGCTTCCGGGAGGACCATTGCAGTGTATATATAGCGGAGCATCCAAGATCTTGCAGCTCTTTGGGTGGTCGCGAGTTGCGCAACTGTCGCCATTTTAGTGGTAGGCTCCCGGGAGGCACGGCGGCGGAGTAGGTGAGCATATGCAGGCCGAGCCGAGGCCTCGCGGCGCTCCTGGGGGGGGGGGCGCGAAGTGCGCAATTGTGGTGCCGCTGTCGTGGCCTCCTCCTCCTCCTCCTCCTCCTCCTCCTCCTCCTCCTCCTCTTTCCCCTCCTCCTCCTCCCCCTCCTCCTCCTCCCCCTCCTCCCTCCTCGCCTCCTCCTCCTCCTCCTCCTCCTCCTCCTCCTCCTCCTCCTCCTCCTCCTGTCGTGGGTGCCGCTGTCGTGGGTCCTTGCAGCGTGCTCTTTTGCATGTGGCGTTCTTTTTAGATGGTCGACTCGCGCTGAGAAGGGGCTGGGCACGTCTCGGGTAGTGAAACTCACGCGCTGGATCGGTGGATTCTTTCTCAGAGCCCCATGAAGAGGGAACTTGGAGGGAGTGCCTACTGCAACGTCGTTGGTGCGTCTTGGGTTTACACGGGTCCTCCTCCTCCTCCTCCTTCTCCTCCTCCTTGGTGCAGGGCTGGCGGGCGGGGGGTGGAGAAGGGGGAGGGGGGGATGCCAAGCCAGGTGCGCTCGCGTGACGTCTTAACCCTCCCTCCCATCCCTTACCATGGCGTAGATATCCTCTCTATTCGCAGAGTCGGATGTCGAGCAGGGCAATGATCCCGAAGGGGTACGCGATGCATTGTAGAGCACGGCATGGCATGGGGTAGAAGAGCACCGCAGAGCGTAGCATGCCATAGCATGGCATGGTATTGCGCAGTGAAACATTGCATCACTAAGTATTACAACGCAAAGTGTGGCATCGCAGAGCGGACCGGAACACAACACCGCACAGCATGTCATGGCATGGCGCCGGGCCCCTTAGAGGGTAAGTGGATCGTCTTCGAGAGGTCTGGGCCAGTCTGGAGTCGTGGCTCCATGTCTAGCTCAGTGGGCTCCCCGAAAAGTTCCACACAAGGCGTGGCTGATGGAGAGCACCCGCTGGCTCTGCTTCCAACATCGCCTTCTCAAACCAGAAACGAGGCTCCCGCTTGATACTTCCTGAAAGCGACGATACCCCAAAGTGTGGGAGGGAAGGGAGGGCTTCTGCGGCCCAAAAAATTATCGAATTGACACCGAAGATGTAATTACTTCCAAAGGTTTTTTCGGGGGGGCATTTTCTAGATTTTGGGGCCTATTTGGAAGGAAGGCCAGCGCTGCAGTGGGAGCACGGAAATGAGGCCAGCGCTGCAGCGGCAGCACGATTCGGAACGAGCGGAAACCCGAAAATGAGGCCAGCGCATCAGCGGGAGTAACATTTTTGAACAACAACCCAAGAGAAACATATCCTGGGAATCTTGTGTGTAAGAAACACTACGCGGAGGGGGGCCGGATATCTTCTGGACGTCATCAGGGGAGAGAGAGGAGAGTAGTATTCATATCGTGTAATCGTGGAGGGGGGACGGAGAGGGGGAGCGGGGGGGGGGGGGAGGGGGGAGGGGGGGGAGGGGGGGGAGGGGGGCAAGCTAGGTGCGCTCGCGTCATATCTGACATCCTACCCCTCCCTCCCATCCCTTACCATGGCGTAGATCCCCTCTCGACTCTACTCGCACAGTCGGATGTCGAGCAGGGCAATGATCTCGAAAGGGTACGCGATGCATTGTTGAGCACGGCATGGCATGGCGTAGAAAAGCACCGCAAAGCGCAGTATCAACCTAGCATTGCATTGCATGCCGTGGCATGGCACGGGAAATGACGCCAGCGTTGCAGCGGGAGCACGAGTCGAAACGAGCGGAAGCGCGGAAATGAGGCCAGCGCTGCAGCGAGAGCACGATTCAGAACGAGCGGAAGCACGGACATGAGGCCAGCGCTGCAGCGGGAGCACGATTCGGAACGAGCGGGGCCCGAAAATGAGGCCGGCGCCTCAGCGAGAGCAGCATTTTGAAAACAAATGCAGGCGAAAACCCAATTCCGGGGAAACCTGTATGTAAAAAACAGAACGCGGGGGGGGGGGTCGAGCACTTTCAAACCGTCATCAGGGGAAGAGGGAGAGTAGTATTCATATTGAGTATTTGTAGATGGAGAGGGGAAGGGGGGGGAGGGAGGGGCAGGGGGGGATGGAGAGGGGGATGGAGAGGGGGAGGCCTCGCTGCAGGGGTCCGTGGATATTTGTAAAATCCAACGGGCACCATCTTTGGGGTAAGAGAAAAGTGTCGCAGGGGGAAGGCTCGATGTCGGAGGGAGCAGGGTCTTGGTCACAAGATGATGCCGACGCTGACCCCAAACAGTGACTCTGATCACTGCCTGCGGAATCTCCGATAATTATTGGGGGGAGAATGGAAAACGGATGAGGCGGGAGGAGGAGGGAGGAGGAATGGCAAAGCTCAGGGCTGCGCGTGCAGTTACAGACCCAGGGGCGAACTCCCGGCTGGACTCAACGGGTCCACGGGCTGTTTCAGGGCGGTCTCAACATCCAGCCCGAGGGAGCGACAACTCTCCCTCTCCCCCGTCTTTGGGGGAGCGACAACTGTACACCGATCTTGGCCGGGCCAGTCCTGGGCCCAAGATCGGCTTGGGTAAGCGGGAGAGCGTATACGCCGCCCAGGGTGGTTTTGGCCACGATTGGTGCAGTCGCTCAGTTGGTGCTCCCAAGTACCCTCCCTCGCCCATTAGAGGAAGAAGAGATACAAATCAAATCGATAGTAAAGATGGGCAACCTTCTCAAGGGTACCATCGCATCCGTGCCTCTTGATCCATTCTTGACTACTTTCGATGGCCCGCCGCGCTCGAAAAAGCATCAACATGGGCATCGAAGGGGCTTGTATCTTCATCGCGCATCCTTACACTCAGTTCTGACAGTACCGATGCCGCTGCTCGTCCTGAAGAGCCCTGGTCGCCACGGCCGGAGTCTCCCCGAGGTTCTGGTCTGAACGTACCCGAGGAGAGCTGCGTGGAGTAGGCGGCATCGGTACCTTTTTCAGGAGGGGAAAACACACACAGACCCAATTCATCGTCGATTCCCAGGAAAATATGGGAAAATATGGGAAATGGGGGGGAAGACAAAAACCAGGAAAGTGTAGGGAATATTTGTATGTGTGTATTTATTTGTGTGTCCTGGGGCCCCTTCACTTTTGCCCCCCAGCGCATGCTCGTGGGCGAAGGACGTCTCCGCAGCCACGGCCTTGCGGGCCGGGGGGCCCCCCCGGCCGCGACCCCGCGGATGCCCCGCGCGGAACGCAGCCGTGCCACCGCGCATCCGCGGGACCGCGCCCCAGGCTCCAGATCGCGAGGGCGTGGACATGGAGACCTAGGAGGAGGAGGAGGAGGAGGAGGAGGAGGAGGAGGAGGAGGAGGACGAGGAGGAGGAGCGAGGAGCGAGGAGCGAGGAGCGAGGAGCGAGGAGCGAGGAGCGAGGAGGAGGAGGGACGAGGAGGAGGAGGAGGAGGAGGAGGAGGAGGAGGAGGAGGAGGAGGAGGAGGGGATAGGTCACCCCCGGGGGCGCGAAGATGCTCGCGCTGCACGCGCTGCGGCTCGGGTTGGGGGAGGCCCTGGTCCGAGGCGGCGGCGCGAGGGCTCGAAGATGACCGCGCGTTGGCGTGGTGCGAGGAGCTGGGCGACCTGGGCGTCCAGACCGCGAGGGCGTGGACTTTTCTGTCATCAGAGCGTGAATTACCTACCCCGCTTTCGCTTCCAGGCGAAACCAAGCCATACCACGCGCCTCCTCGTCAAGTGGCCTGACTAGTACACGCTGCAATTTGGCATCGTTTGGTATCTCTTGGAAGCGAGGGTGGTCAAAAGCGAGGTAGGTTTGTTTTCCCCCTATGTCAGCTCCTCAACGAGTCAATCTGCTCGCTGTTGCATGCACGCCGCTGCTGGACGGGGCTCCGAGACAAGACGGCGGCTGGAACGAAAAACGGTCGCGTGCCGCATCGTCGCCATTTGCCTTCTGCTTCGACCTGCCTGCATCTATCCTGTCAGAGCTCGAAGTCCGTTCTAGGGGGAACACAAAGTGACAGAAACACAAAAACTCGGAGGTCCGCGCGGATCTCTCGGATTCGCGCTGGGGCCCCCATGGCGGCGCCTCCGGCGCCGCCCCTGGCGCGCGCCGCGCGCCAGGGAGGGGGGTCCAGCGCCGATCCGAGAAGTCCGCGCGGACCTCCGAGTTTCTATACGTTTCTGCCACCTGTTGTTTCCCTGCGTTGTTCTCCTTGCTGTTCTCCTTGTTGTTGTTCTCTTTGTTTTTATGTTTATGCCAGGCGGCGCCGTGCGTTCTCTTGTTGTTGTTGTTGTTGTTGTTGTTGTTGTTGTTGTTGTTGTTGTTGTTGTTGTTGTTGTTGTTGTTGTTGTTGTTGTTGTTGTTGTTGTTGTTATCCTTGTTGTTGTTATCCTTGTTGTTCTCCTTGTTGTTCTCTTTGTTGTTCTCTTTGTTTGTTCTCCCTGCCGTGCGCCGCCCGTGGCCGCCGCAGGTGCTCCAGGCGATGCTGGGCAGGCGCAGCTCCCCGGGCGGCGGCGACCCGGACAGGCTCCTGGAAGGCGGGCGGCCCTCCCCCGGGCGGTGCCGCTCGCCGCTCTGCCTCTCCCTCTCCCGTCCTCCCCATCCTCCTCCTCCTCCTCCTCCTCCTCCTCCTCCTCCTCCTCCTCCTCCTCCTAGACCTCCTCCTCCTCCTCCTCCTCCTCCTCCTCCTCCTCCTTCTCCTCCTCCTTCCTCCTCCTCCTCCTCCTCCACCTCCTCCTCCTCCTCCACCTCCTCCTCCTCCTCCTAGACCTCCTCCTCCTCCTCCTCCTCCTCCTCCTCCTCTCCTCCACCTCCTAGACCTCCTCCTCCTCCTCCTCCTGTCCTCTCTTCTTCCTCCCCCTCCTCATCCTCCTCGTCCGCTCTGCCTCTCCCTCTCCTGTCCTCCTCCTTTTTGTGCCTCTCCCCCCCTCCTCCTCCTGCCTCTCGTCCTCTCCTGCCTCTCCTCTCCTCCTCTCCTGCCTCTTCTCTCCTCCTCTCCTGCCTCTCCTCTCCTCCTCTCCTCTCCTGTCGTCTTCTCCTCTCCTGCCTCTCCTCTCCTGCCCTCCTCTGCTCCCATGGGTGCCGTCCCGAAAGGCTCAAGGGGCGATTCGCCCCGCGGAGCCCCGTCTCCCACGGGCGGTGCCGCCCGAGAGGCTGCGGCCCCTCCGAGCCTCTGCCGAGCCTGCCCCCCCCCCGTCTTCGCGGTCGCCCTCGGTGGTAGGGGCAGTCCCGCTGCGCTCGTCTGCCCCTCTCACTCCTCCTCCTCCTCCTCCTCCTCCTCCTCCTCCTCCTCCTCCTCCTCCTCCTCCTCCTCCTCCTCCTCGTCCCTCCTCATCCTCCTCCTCCTCCTCCTCCTCCTCCTCCTCCTCCTCCCCTCCTCTCCTCCTCCTCCTCCTCCTCCTCCTCCACCTCTCCTCCTCCCCATCCTCCTCCTCCCCATCCTCCTCCTCGTCTCTCCTCCTCGTCCCTCCTCCTCGTCCCTCCTCCTCGTCCCTCCTCCTCCTCCTCCTCCTCCTCCTCTTCCTTCTCCTCCTCCGGTCTGGCTGTGGAGTCTCGGGGGAGGCAGAGAGGGGGGTGATGACTAGGGTAGGGTGGATGTCATGGCCTGGGCCACGATATTTCCCCAGATCTCATGGCGCCTCGTCTTGTTTCGCTACGTCCCTGGCCCCCCCCCCTGGGCCGCGCACACGCTGCCGGCCATGATGTGCCCTCCCCCTTCTTGGACGCCGCCCCCCTCTTGGCCGCCCTCGAGGTCGGAGGTGCTGCCTTTTTTAGGGCGGCGGCGCGAGAGCGCCACGACAGCCGCGCGTCACGCATCGCGGGGCGCGGTGCGCGAAGTTGGGTGGCCAGGTCACGGATGCGCACCACCGCCCGCGGGGCTGCGGTCGCGCCCCCGCGTGCCCTCCTGTGCACTGCGCCGTGGCCGCATGCTTCGCGCTGCCGCCAGACGGGTCTCAGGGGGGGGGAAAACACACACAGACACAATCCATCCTCGATTCCTCAGACAATATCGGAAAAGATGGGAAGTGGGGGGGAAGACGGAAGCCCCAAAAATATGGGAAAATATGTCTATTTGTGTGTATTTCTTTGTGTGTCCCAGGGCCTCTCCAGCTTACCTCCAAGGCCGTGTCTTCTGGAGAGCTGCGAGACCCAGACGCCGATGGGAAGACGCAGCTGCAGAATACGCACTCTGACGCCTGCTTGTTCACCTGGGCCCGAGGGCCCGCCGCGCTGCCCACCAGTGGGCCGTCATTCGGACGTTCCGCGCGTGTCTGCCTGTCTGCTGTGTCTTCTGGAGTGTCGATCCCCCTCGCATCCAAAGTCTCCACCCGACCTTCGCAGGGACTTGTAGTCCAGAGAGCGCTTATCGTCTGGTCAGCTGCACGGGCATTCGCTGCTGGCCGGAAGGGGGTTTCAACTCCACCCCCCACGAGCAAGGGGGGATGGGGGGTCCGGACCCCCCCACCTCCCATGGAAATTATGTGGAGGGGTCCCGGACCCCCCACCCCCCGGAAAGAACTGGCTCAAGAAGCAGGCTCAAGAACGCACGCTTCAGCATCCTGCCTTCACACCCTTACATCTTCACTTACGTTTACATCCTTTACTCCGGTTTTACCCGCGAACATGCCAGAGACACATGTCATTTCTTCTCCAGAACCGCGGCGGTCAGCGCTCAAAGTGGCTCGCACTGGCAGCTCGCCCCTCAAGGTCGACGAAGAAGGTCCAGGCTCGGGTCAATCACTATTTGAACAGCGGCTGAATGACGCAGACCAGCACAACCGTATCGAGTTCACCAACATGGTTCCTGGTACAACGCTCACTGCAGAGACGCTCAAAAGCATACTAAACGAGCAGCTACAACCGATCCGAACCGACATCACGCCATCAAGACACATGAGACCTCGCGGGAGGACCTTGACACTGCAGTGACGCCTCTCCAAGCATCCACCGACGCCATTACAAAGAGAGTATCGGCATTAGAAGCCGCTTCTCGACCGTCGTCGGCGGAATCCGCAGCGACAATGGATTCCACCACCAACGACAAGATATTGCAGCTGGAGATGGACATCGAAGCGATGAAACAGCAACGAGCTATTCCAGCCCGTCCAACAGCACATGCCGCCCACAGCACCAACAGCATCACAGACAGGAGGGACATCACTGCCGTCATCGGCAACTTCGACGACTTCGGGACCCTGGAGGACGCAAGCGCTTGGATCAAACAAGAACTGCAACGTCTAGGCGCACCGACACCGACCAACACGTACGCCACGGGAGACTTCAACGATATGTTGTTCATGGAGTTTTACAGCGTTGACGACAGAAACCTTGCGGTCGGACAGATACGAAGCGCCAAGATCAACAGGAGCGGAAAACATATTTGGGCTACAAACGATCGTCCTCCACTGATCCGGGCTGCACGCAACTATTGTTTTGGCGTAAACTACATGTTGAAGGACACAATGGATATCACTTACCCCATACGCGTCGACGACACGGACCAACCATACAGTCGGGGCCCTGAAGAAGAAACCCTTTTCGTTGGGGAGGGGCTCCGTGTTCCTTGATTGCTTCACAGTTTGCCTTGGGTTTTCCTTTGGTTTTCAATGGGAAATCGGTGTTTAACTTGTGGGAAAAAGGGGGGCCCGTTCCTTATTTATCGTTCCTTAGGTCAACGCCACGACTGTACACGGTAACCGTTGGTGGAGAATTGGCTTTGACAGTGAAGATCGACGGAGGCACGGTTATCCGGGAATGGGCCCCTCGCGATTGGACAAATTGGGGGACATTTGCATAGCCGCGCAAAAATGATTGAGCTTACCACTAGGTGCGACGACATCATCAGCCGTGTCGCAAAGAGTCAGAAAGGATCAGCAAAAGGGGGGTCCAAAGGGTCCAAGTAGGACGCACGGCGGGCCTTGGCAGTCACCACCGGCGCCCGAGCCACAACATACATTATCTATTATGTCTTTCCGGACGTGGAGAACACGGGCAAATATACCGATACATCCATTGGTCTGGCTCCAGATCTTCCTGATCCTCCTGAACCTCTTCCTGCTTTTTGTTTTTTCGCTACGACGGCCAACGTGAAAATGAAAATACCATGATTCCAAATAACAGCGCAGTGGTATATACGACAAATTCTGGATTTTTGGGCCTGGGCAACACGGGCAAAACTACCGACATGTGCACGTTTACGGGATATGCGCGACAGCTACCGCGCCAAAGTTTTGATTCGAGTTCCTCTCGCCCACCACCGGCTATCGACCTCCGACCTCCCACCTCAAGTTTTCGACGTCCACCTATCGACCTCCAACCTCACCCAACCAACCTTCAGGTTCCAGGTCAATGTGTTGTTGAGCGCGCTACAGCGTGCACGAGTCCGGGCAAACTTACCCTCGTACAGCGCACCGCGGATGCATCGACACCTCACTCATCATGGACCTCGTTTACCGCTGATGGAAAGGCACTGGTACCACCTACGAGGACACTTTTTTCGACCACCGGTGCCTGCTCAGGGCTTCCACGCGGACATGCCGAGTTACATCGATCAGGCCATCACCACGCCCCGGCTCCCCCGACCTCGGCCTCTGTGACTACAGGACTGTTTCCCGACCTCCAGCCTCCAGCATCCGACTTTCGACCTCCACCTCCACCTATCGACCCCCAGACTCCACTAGTTCAGCACTCTGACCTCAAAACTCAAACACCCGACTTTCCACCTCGACCTCCGCGTATCGACCTCCAGCGTCCGACGCCCGGCCTAAACCATCCGAATTTTCACCTCCACCTCCACCTTTCGACGTCCAGCGTCCACCAGCTCATCACTCCGACCTCCAGCCTCAAGCATCCGACTTTCCACCTCCACCTCCACCTATCGACTCCCAGCTTCCACCAGCTCAGCACTCCGACCTCCAACCTCCAGCATCCGACTTTCCACTTCCACCTATCGACCTACAGCCTCCGCCAGCTCAGCACTCCGACCTCCAACCTCCAGCATCCGACTTTCCACCTCCACCTATCGACCCACAGCCTCCGCCAGCTCAGCGCTCCCACCTCCAGCCTCCAGCATCCGATTTTCCACCTCCACCTCCACCTACCGACTCCCGCCGTCCACCAGCCCAGCAGTCCGAACCTCCAGACTCCAGCGTCTGACTTTCCACCTCCACCTCCACCTTTCGACCTCCAGCGTCCACCAGCTCATCACTCCGACTTCCAGCCTCAAGCATCCGACTTTCCACCTCCACCTCCGCCTCCACCTATCGACCTCCAGCGCCCACCAGCTCAGCACTCCGACCGCCAGCCTCCAGCGTCGGAACCGCGACCGATCGACTCCCAGCGTCCACCAGCTCAGCACTCCGACCTCCGGCCTCAGACGCCCGGTTCTTCATTTCCACCTCACTTATCGACCTCCAACGTCTACCAGCTCCGCACTCGGACCTCCAGCCTCAGACATCCGATTTTGCACCTCCACTTCCACCCTTTGACCTCCAGCGTCCACCAGCTCATCACTCCGACCTCTCATCAAGCATCCGAT